GTCTTTCCAGGCTCTCACCTGTGTCCTTTTTTCTTCTCCCTCTGTACCCCCTTTCTTAGTAATCTCATCATTTTCAAGGGGGCCAGTTATTTTTTTGCAGATGACTCTCAGATCTATATCTGCAGCCATGGTTTCTTTCCTGAGCTCCAATCCTGTATCGCCAATTGCCTAGTAGACATTTTCAATTGTATGTCCTTTAGGCATTTAAAAACCAACATTTCCAAAATGGATTTATGGGCATCTCTGTTTCTATTCTCGTTCCTATATTGTACTTAATTTCTATGCTATTTAGCTTGGTAGATATATTAGCTTCACCTTCATTTTTGGTTTAAATCTTTTTTTTTTAAATGGTTGTAAAGTTGCAAGTCTCTAGACCAATACATTCTTGGCGGCCTTTGTTAGGTGTACTCCGTCTCTGGTCAGGAGCCTGTCATTCTAGTTTTACCTGGGGCCCAGAAATATCAACCCCATTCTCAGTACCACCTTCTTAACCAGATGCTCCTTTCCCAAATCTACCTTTTTTCTTCACTCGTCAGTAACGATAAAACAAACCACATATCCTCTAAGGGTTTTCCGTTTCTTGCCGAAGACTTAGTGACCTTTAGCTGTGCTTTCTACATTCTTTCTAGCAGTATCATTTACACTCACATGAATCATCAGAAGTGGGTAACAATCATTTGGTTTGAGAAGTCTTGGAAAGCTCTCTGTACATACAGGGACACATGTCATGCCCTAGGAAAACAGCAGACCTTTCTGTTATTATTATCAGGTCAACAAATGGCTATCCCAATCCCCTTCAGTGGTGGGGGGGTCACCATCCACTACTACTGATACCTCCTTTCTCCAATCCCTTCTGGATGATTTCTCACCAGGCACCTTTGGGTCTGTGACATTTAAAAAAGTTTGAGAGACATAATTTCTGGGTAATTAATCATTTTATTAATCATACTAGCATATAATTAATAAAATGGGTCAGTGACACTCTAATGCTGAAGACTCCTCACAGAACCCACTCAGCATTTAAATGTTCTTAGAAGAGTGGGTGTTTCTGAGGGTGGAAATCTACTCTGATTGGTTAACAAGTAATGAGAAGAATGAATATTATAATGAGAGGTAGACCTGTTCTAATGAGGGGCTGGGGGATGTGACTTTAATTATGTCATTTCCTTCTAGATCACCCCCAGCCTTAAACAATCTAATCAAATAATTTATCCCTACCCAAACCTGAGCAGAAAAAGAGGGGCAGGAATTCACATAGATAAGGTGGTGTAGGTGAGGTAAATCTTTGACAGAGGCCAGTAATGTCCTTGTAAGGCTGGGCTTTGAACAAGGAAATAGGTCAGGAAAAAAGCCTGGCTCTCCCCCATAATTGGTTATTAATAATTATTTCTCTCAGGTCCATATCGTTAGTCATAGGATCACAAGAGCATAGATTTAGAGCTGGAAGGGTCTCAGTGGTCATCTAGTTCATCCCCCTTATTTTTAGTCCTAGCTAAAGGATCTGCTTCCTCCTGGGACAGAGTCTTGTATCTATTTCAGTGATTCAAGGGTTCACTGATCCTTTTTCTCCTTCTCTACTCTTTTATGTCCTGCCATCCCTCAATCTACTAACTCATGAAATCTTTTTTCTTCTTTGTTTTCAAATTGGAGTCCTTCCATTTTTAAATGGTTCATTTCATGTTCCCTGGTAACCTGAAAAGTGAGAAGGATCTCAATGCCCTTTACCTAAAATCAACCTGCAGGTTGATTATAGGTAGCTAATACTGGGCCTTGGCAGACATACAACCACCACACACCACATAGGTCAGTGCAAAAGCCTCCCCCACTCCCCATTCTTGCTGGAATCAATGGCTTCAGCCCTTAGTCATTGTTGCCAGTAGCTGTCCAAGAGAGCTACAATGGTAGTTAGTGGGAACCTTGAATTCTGGCATTCTCCTGTCTCTTCATCTTGTCAGCTCTTTGCCAACCACAATAAACTTCCTTTGTCTTACTAACTTTTTACCTAGCTTACCAAGTTGTCTTATCTTGTATTATTTATCCTGCCTTACCAACTCCCTCCTCGAGTCCTTTTCCTCCTCTTCAAATCCTGCTGAAGTCCTTTCTGATTCACTTCTCTTTCACCTCACTCCCTTACTGTCTCGTTCACTTAAATTACTTCTCCTGTTTCTCCTTAGCTCCTTCTCCTGTGCCTTCTCCTCCTCTTCCTTCTCTTTATTCTCAGGTCCTTTCATTCTAGTCCCCTTTTCAGCTGAAGCCCTGCTTTTTTCTTTCAAATCCTAAAATCCTCCCGTATTCCCCTACCCCACATATAAGCTTTGCCCTTTCATAATTCCAATCCAAATCTCCTTCACAATAACTTTTCCTTCTTCAGCTACATCCTTCTCCTATACAGTGACCAACTTGGCTTAAAAGGACATGGACCAGCTGAAGCACATTTAAAGGAAGGTGACCATGATGGTGAGACAAAGGAAAGGAAGTCTGACCCAATATGGGCCTTCAAAGAAATCAAAGAAGAAAAGGACCTATATGTACAAAAATACTTATGGCAGCTTTTTTTGTAGTAGTCAGAGATTGGAAATGAAATAGGTAGTCCACTGGAGAATGGCTTAACAAATTATAATATGTGAATATAATAGAGTATTATTATTTCATAAGAAATTACAAAATGGGTGTTTTCAGAGAAAATGGAAGGCTGCAATGAACTGATGCAGAACAAAGTGAGCAAAATTATGAGAACAATTTATACAACAATTACATTTTAGAGAAAAACTTTGAAAGACTTTAGAATTCTGATCAATGCAAAACCACTAGCTGACAAGACTGAAGGTGAAACATGACACTCTCCTCTTGCCAGAGAAGTGATTAATTTGAAGCTTTTTCATCCCTCCTCAAACCTCTCATTGTTTCCCCTTCCCTGACTCTCTCAGCAGAGAACCTGTCTCATGTTTTACAGAAAAAATTGAGGTTGTTTGCTATGAACTCCCTTATCTTCCCCCTTTCTCAATCTTCCCCCTTTCTCATCTCCTTTCACTTAGGTGCCTTTGGCCACACTCTCCTTCACCTCTGTCTCACGTGATGAACTGCACTTACCCTTACCAAAGGGAACCCCTCTACTTGTTCAAGTGATTCTATATCAGTCTTTCTCCTCCAACAGACTCCCCTCTGTCATCCCCATTCTTTCACTTATTTTCAATCTCTCCCTCACTAGTGGCATTTCCTGCTGCCTACAAACATGCCCATGTCTCCCTTATCTTGAAAAAAAACCCTCACTTGATCCTTTCATCTGTCCTATCATCCTATTTCTCTTCTGCCTTTTGTAGCTAAACTCCTCAAAAAGCCATCTACAATAGGTACCTCTACTTTCTTTTCTCTCATGCCCTTCTTAACCCCTTACAATCTGGCTTCTGTACTTATCATTCCACTCAAACTGTTCTCTCCAAAGTTACTGATGGCCTTTGAGTTGCCAAATCCAAAGGGCTTTTCTCAATCCTCATTCTCCTTGAGCTTTCTGCATCCTTTGGCACTGTTGATTACTTCTCCTTGATACTCAAAATCAATAAACTATAGTGGCTTCCAATTGTTTTTTTTTTAAATGGGGGAGGCAGTAGAAGGGACAGATTAAAAAAAAGTAGTAAATTCCCCCATGTTAGAGATCTTTTAAGTGGAATCTAGATGAGCATTTCTCAGGAATATTGTTAGGGTCATCCTTGCCCCCTTACTTTCTCTCATTGCACATATCCAAACAATAACTGAATCTTTTCGCTTTTACCTCCACCACATCTCTCACATCCACCCCCTTCTCTTCATTCACATACCATCATCTTGTCCAGGTCCTTTGGCCTGTACTATTGCCATTGACTTCTACCTTAGTCCCTCCTCATTCTAATCCATCCTCCATTCAGATACTCATGTGATTTTCCTAAAGCACAGGTCCCACAGTATTAGTTCCCTGTTCAATAAATTCAGTTGCTCCCTGTTATCTCTAGGCTCATATGTAAACTATTGTTTTTGTCACCTAAAGCAACCTGATTTTAGTATGCCTTTCTGCATTCATTACACATTCCTCCCCTTCCTGCCCTCTGTGATTCAGCCAAACTGGACTACGTTGTTCCTTACTCATAACCTCACATCTCATGTCTCCATGCCTCTGCACAGTGTCCCCCACATGTAGAATGCATGTCCTCATCATTTCTATCTCCTTCAAAGCTCAGGTCAAGTACCTCTTACATAAGGCCTTTCCTAACCTCCATCTATAAGTGTTGACCCCCTCGTCGAATAGATAATGTATTTTATTTGTAAAAGAAGAGAAGACGTTGAAGAGGGTAGGAGAAGCAAGAAAAAGCAGCAATATGAAAACCCAGAGAAGAGGGAGTAGCCAGGAAAGGTGTGACCGAAGGCTATGAAGAGGTCAAGAAGGATGAGGATTGAGAAAAGGCCATCAGATTTGGCAGTTAAGAGATTATGGGTCATTTAGGAGAAAACAGCTTCAAACTGAGTGATGAGGCTGAAAGTTAAATTTCAAAGGGTTGAGGAGTGGTAGAAAAGAAGGTAGAGACAATTAGTGGAGACGACTTCTATGAATTTGGTTGTGAAAAGGACAGATATAGTAGGCTCTAGTAAGGTTGTCTTTATTTTTATTTTTTTTACTTTTTAAAATTAATTTATTTTGATTTATCAACAATCACTTCCATAAGCTTTAAATTTTTCTCCCCCTCCCTCCCCAAGACAGCGTGCAATCTGATATAGGTTATACATATACATTCCTATTAAACATATTTTCACATTAGTGATGTTGTAAGGAAGGATTAGAACCAATAGAAAGAACCACAAGAAAGAAGAAACAAAACAAAACAGAAGAAAAAAATAGCAAATAGTATGCTTTGATCTGCATTCAAACTCCATAGTTCTTTCTTTGGATGTGGATAGCATTTTCCATCATGAGACCTTTGGAGATGTCTTAGATTAAGGTTGTTGTTGTTGTTGTTGTTGTTGTTGTTTTTAAAGGATGTTGACATGGTTGTGTTTGTAGTTGGGTAATAGTAGCTACCACTAGAGAGATATTGAATATTAAAGATAGAAAAAGTATCCAATCTGTTGGAGAAGATGGGAGGGTATGGGATCAACATGGAATGGGCAGCCTTTCAAGGAAGGGGGTTCCCCCTGAATGGAAGTCTTTAAGCAGAGGCTGGATAACACTTGATGGGCAGATTGTAGAGGGAATTCTTGTTCATTTATGAGTTGGACCGAGTGGTCTCTGAGGTACCTTCTGGCCCTGTGATTTTGTGGCATTGACATTCCCCTCTCTGTTTCTTCATTCTTCCTTCTGAAAAATGAACAGGTTGAATTAAATGGGGACTTTAAAAGCCATGGTTTGAGCCCAGCTCGAAATCCTATAATTCTTTGGAAATTGATGTTATTTCTTATTCTTCCTCAGAGTTCTTGCCTTCATTCACCGTAGTGGTGCTAGACTTGTAGTTTACAAGACTGAGATCATCCCTCACCTCCTCCAGCCACCAGCCCCATCATGTCCAGCTTGGGTAGATGTGGAATAGGGTCCACGCTGTAAGGTAGGCTGTGTTTTGTTGTCTTTTTCATAAATCAGAACAACAAAATCACTAGTCTTCCATACAGCATTTGACCAGTATTACCTCAGATCAACCAGGTACAGAAGAAAGAATTTGGGATTTGAGGCTCAGCAGCAACCTGGGTTCAAATTCTGGCTTTGACACTCCTTAGCTATGTGAACTTTTCAAGCCATTTCTCTCTGAGCCTCCATTTTCCCATCTATAAAATGGTGATGATGCCTGTACTACCTATATACAGAGTCATTGAAAGGAAAGCATTCTGTAAACCTTAAGAGTTCTAGTGAAGTGGAAGCTATTATTATAGTCTGTTTCCCACCAGCCTTGCTTAGGTGATGCTAGTTACAGCACTAATTCTTCAGTTAAATTCTCTTTGGCCATCACTTCTAACTCCCCTTCCCCGCTTTGGTGATATTACATCGTCAGTACATTCCTAGACATTCCTAGCTCTCAGTTTCTGCTTAGTTCCTTAGCTGGCTAGGAACCAAACTGATGTCCTTGTTTTCCATCCCTGGCCACTGCTTCCAAGTTGTCTTCATCATTCTCATGCTGGAGATTTAGAAATATGATTGATTATTAATATCGAGCGCCTGATGAAATATTCCGTTTAACAGTTTTTGGCTCTTTAGCCAACCAATCTCTTTTCCTTACATACCTCTGTACAGTAAGCCTATGCTTATGACTAGCCCTGTGAGAAGGCCCCAGTGGCGCTCTTTTGTTAACAGGTCTCTTCACTACACCTGGTCTCTCCACTGTTTCAGTTTCAGTTATAGCCTTTTTCAGGAGGGTGACCTAAAGAGAATCACTTACCTTCTCTTGAGCTTTGTTTTTTTCATCTATAAGTGAAGATAATAATACCATGTGGATTGCCTACATCATAAGGAATGCTATGAGGGGAGGGCTTTATGGCATAGTGGAGAGAGCCTTGGGCTTAAGGTCAGGAAGGACTTGGATTTGAGTTCCATATAATTATAAGCAAATTACTTAACCCTTTTGAGCCTCAGCTTTCCCATCTATAAAATCTGGCTAATAATACCTTTAGTATCCACCACACAGAATTGTTTTGAGAATCAAAGGAGATATTTTATATAAAGCTCTTTGTAAACCTTAAAGCAGCTATATGAATATTGGCTATTATTGTGCTATCTTAAAGTACCATAGAAATAAATTATCATAATAATTATCATTATTATTGGTGACTTTTGTCCCTTGATCATCTTTCTTCCTTAGGTTGAGTGTCTGAGAAAGAATAGGGCAAGAAAAGAGCATCAATAAAAGTTTTTTTAAAAAAACAGAATAGGGAACCATTAATAGCATTGCAGAATGTGAGAGTTAGAAGGGCCCTTAGAAATCATTGAGTCTAGCTCTCATTTCATAGAGTAGAAAATTGATACTTAGAGAGAGGAAAGAACCAATACTTACTCAGGGTCACAAAGCCAGTCAATGATGAAAAGAGAGGTATAAGGTTCTATTTTGAAATTGTGATTTATCTAAATGGGATCTTAATTCAGTCATCATGTCCATTCCTGGAAGGAAAAAAAAAGCATTTTTTTCCCTTTCCACTTTCCAACCCCCCCTCTCCTCACCATGTGCTATAAAAGCAACTACTTCTAATATCTGCATTCAGAAGCACCAGATGGACAAACAGACAGTAGCCAGCTTTCTAAAAGGCTGAGATGGGGAAATTAGGAGCCTTGAGGGCTGTTCTGCAATAAGCTGCACACGCTTAGACAACCCCATTAGCTCATCACCTGGTCTAGGGGAGCATTATCAACTGGATCAAACAATGGCATCTGGACAATGCCAGCCCCTGTTCTCACCTCTAGGTCAAGTGTTCTTATCAACATCTCTCTCTCCATCTGGCCAAAACTCTAGTACAACAGGCAAATAAAAAGTCATTAGAAAGGTAGTCTGGAGAGGAAGGAAAACCAGTAGCTGGATTTCTCTCTTTTACTTTGAGTTTTTGTGACATTAAGGGAAAAGTGTCAAACTTGCCTAACTCAGTTTTCCATGCAATATTACCTCATTAAAAGAAAAAAAAACAAATTCTAATATAGGGTCAATGAATATTAAGGCTGGAAGCAGTCTTAGAACAAAGAACACAGAAGGAATGCTAGGAAGGCCCTAGGACATGGAAAATGAGAGGTGGGAGGGCTTAGAACATATAATATGAGAGCTGACCTTAGTGCTCATTCTGGTTAATTCTTTCAGTGTTCAGGTGGGCAAGCTGATACACACACACAAGTGATTTTCCTAAGGTCATAGACTGAGATCAATGAGAAAGCCAGAACTAAACTCTAGTTCTTACCTGCTAGTTCAAGACCCTTTCTACTACACTGGATTTATTCATTGAATAAAGTATTATATTCCTTGCTCTTCATTTTAAAAGTAGAATGAATTCTATTTTATATCTGGTATAAGTCCAATTTCAGTGAAATGTTCGTTTTCATACCCTAAGGCAAATGGGAGCCATATTCATTCTTTATCACTTTTTCAAGATGATTTCCCTCCCAAACATTTGGGTTGCAAGATATCTTTGGAACTTTCAAGTTTTGTCCCTTTGCTACAGGTGATCAGTCTCCCTGACTGCACTCTTCACCGTAGGATTTGTTATTAAACAAACCTATATTGTTTCTGGCCCAGCTCTGTATCTCCAGCTCTCTCTGAATAGCTGTGTGATTGCCACTCCAATGGCCTGACAGTCTAGATTGCCTGAGCTGAGGTAATCAATGAAATTTGTCTTGAGTTGGTTGGCGTGATAGAGAGAAACAATGCTGGAGGGTCATTCCTTAGAAATGCTAGTGAAAAAGGACCACAGTGATTAAGATGAGTGGAAGTAATATTCACCAAGGCTTGTTAAGGAAGAAGTTTGGTGAGAAAGGGAGGAAAGATTAAGGAATAGAAGAATGGAGATCCGTGGGAAGAGAGAAGATTTTTTAGAGGTGATTGAAATGAATACTGTTAAGTTTCCCTGGTTGATGGGATTCCAGTGTGTTCCCTGAAAGATTATAGCTCAGATTGGAAGTGGGAGAGAAAAAAATAGACAGTCTACAGAAAGGAAACAAACACTCTGCTACCTGGTTTCTATGGTAACTCTGCAAACATGAGTATGCATTCAATTGAGTGATCTTTGTCATAGAGAGAGAAGGGAGGGAGATAGAGAGACAAATAGGAAGAGAGAGGGAGAGAGACAGGAAAGAAAAAAGTAGACAAAGACAGATGGACAGAGAGAGGAAGGGGAAAGACAAATTGATAGAAAAGAGATAGGAGAGGGACACTAACAGAGAGAGGAAGGAGTGAGAAGCAGACAGGAGAGACAGAGACAGAAAAGAATGGCAGAAGAGAAAGGGAAATAGGAGAGGAGACAGAATAGAGTAGAATAGAATAGAGACAGACAGAAAAAGGGAACTAGAAGACTTTCTCTTCCTCTGAGAGGCATTACTGTAAAAGCATTGAAAGCCATCACTTGAAATATTGGCTGTGGGGTCACTGTGAAATTTGAAGGTCCCCTTACCAGGCTAATTTAGTCTTCATGTTCATCTTTAAGTGTCTGCTTATACAAAAGCAGCAAGAGCAGCTAGGTGGTGCAGTGGAAAGAGCTCCGGCCTTGGAGTCAGGAGGACCTGAGTTCAAATGTGACCTCAGACGCTTGACACTAGCTGTGTGACCCTGGGCAAGTCACTTAACCCCAACTGCCTCACCAAAAAGCCAAAACCAACACAAAAGCAGCAGAAGATTCAGCCAATGTAGCTCTCACAACACTAGAAGGTATGAAGCTAGAGGGCAGAACATTCATCATTATTTCTTGGGTTACTGCTTTTTAAACAAAGCCTCCCTTTCAGAAGGTCCCAAGAACAGCTTAGAAGGAGACATAAGCCCCATGTGCTGGCTAGTGAATACCCACTCACTCAGCAAATATTGATCATGTCTCCAGAACACTCAGTCACTTACTTTAAAGGGCTCACTGTTTAGAAATGAGAGATAACACAAGTGCAAAGATGCATGAGATGCAGAGGAATAGAGTGTAAATGATGATGATGATAACTGGCATTTAATTAGAGCTTCAAAGTCTGCAAAGTGCTTTACATATTGTCTTATTTGATAATTAGTAATTGGGCAATACCTTTCCCATTTGGCTGATGAGAAAAATGAGGTTCAAAGACTTTCTTATTGTCCCACAGCTAGGAGGTGCCAGAGTTAGCATTTAAAGTATGGTTTTCCTGTCTCCGAGGTTTAGTGGTTCTCTCCAGTATTCTCTACTGCCAGACTGGAGGGTCAAAAGATTTGGATTCAGATCCCAGCTTTAACACATTATACTTTGACATGGGTGACCCTGGAAAAGTGACTTCATTTTTCTGATCCTGTTTCCCCATTAGTAAAACTAGAAAAAGATTGCTTTCCCATCCCATCTCCCAGGCTCATTTTGAGGAATAGAGAGGGGGAAAGAATGAATAGTGGGAGAGAGGACAAGATAGAGGCCTTTGCTTATTTCCCCTAACAACAGGGAAGATGCTTTGGGAGCTCAGAATTAAGAGGACTCTTAGAAGCTACAGAAAGCAATATCCTCCTCTCCCATGTGCAAGACAAAAAGGAGGTAGAGTATCCATTAATAATCATCTTGAGGTTCTCTAAATGTGGATGGCACAGAAAAAAAATCAATATGGAAAATGGAAAGAGTACCCAACTAGGATCCTGGGTTCCAGTCCTGGGCTCTGCCACTTTCTTAGGCAAGTCACTATACATCTCTGGGTCTCAATTTCTCCGTATGTAAGATGGAGAGGAGAGGTAGCTATTGTTTAGTGCAGGGTTTCTATACCTTTTTTTGTGTCCTGGATCCCTTTGGCAGTCTGGTAAAGACTGGTCTTTCAGAATCATGTTTTTAAATGCATAAAATAAATGCACAGGATTACACTGAAATATAGCAAGAAAACTTTTAAGAAGACAAGTTCATGAACCCGAGGTTAGGAACTACAGGCATAGTAGAAAGAACAATAGATTTGGAATCAGACGACCCTGGGCCTGGGTGCTGGCCTCCAGTCAATTGCTGTCTCTGAGCCTCAATTTCTTCATCTATAAAATGAAGGTAATACTTTCACTCCCTGCCTCACAGGAGTGTTGTAAGGAAAGGGCTTTGCAAATGATTGTCATTAATAACAACAGCAATAACAATAATCTCTGCCTTGTCTACATCTTAACATTGACGTGAAGGTGAAATGAGGCTAACCAGTGTCTCAGATGTATAGTCTGGGTACCTCTAAGGTCCTATAATTCATCACAGACCTGAATGTAGAGTGGGTTTGGAGGGAGATGCTTTATAAATGCTGGTAAAAACTCCTGCTGATTTTAAGAAAGGCTGAAATGAGATTTCTTTGGAGTCAGAGGACTTATATTCAAGCCTTGCCCCTGCTGCTTGCTTCCTCGTGTGACCTTACACAAATCTTTGAACCTATTTCCTTATCTGTAAAATGGGAGAGGGGGGGAGAGGAGAGACTAGATGACCTAAGGCCTCTTCTAGCTTTAAATCCTATGATTATAGAACATTTTCTCATTTAACCATGAAGCCACTACCCATCCCCTCCCCAGAGCTATCCCTGGTTCCAGTCAATTGGTTGGGGAGGGGAGATAAGTAAGGGGAAGATGTTATTCCAGCCAGCTGGGGAGAGAGAAGCACAGAAGCTGATATGTATACACTCAGCTCATAAGCTCACTGTTCTCCCTAAGTTGAATTTTCATGGTTTGTTATTTTTTTCTACTGCCAGTCCTCCTGAGGGTCTGCCTGTCTCCTCTTTCACTTCCTCTAGCTGACATCCTTGGCAAAAGAGGCATGGGACAATCAGGGATCTCCTTGGGCTCACAGATTAGTGGTGAGTGGTGCTGCTTCTAAGGAGCTGGAAATACCTGGTTGGGATGGGATTCAGTAAAGAAGATGAGATCTGGTGGACAGACTGGTTTGGAGCTCTGAGTTTGCTATCTTCACCTCCTTCCTGCTCTGCTATGTCCAGGTACACTGTGTTCTCCACGTACACTCTTGTATTCTGTGGCACCCAAGGTACGCTTTGATTTTTCCTGGGTACAGGTGCATAAAGCATCTCTGTATGCCTCTGTCTCCCTCTGTTTTCCAAGGCCCCTCTCCTTTAGAGTGCATAGTTTGGCAGATTGGGCACTGAACCTAGAGCTAGCGAGACCTGGATTCAAATGTCACCTGAGACTTTGGTAACACTGGAAAAATCACTTACGCTCTATCTCAGTTTCCTAATCTATCATATTAAATTTGGTGACCTCTGAGTCCCCTTCCAGATCTAAATCTGTGATCTTTTGATCATTGAACCCTCACACTTGTGAGACTGGAGGAGCCTGGACTCAGGGCTGAGGCAGGAGAAAGGGAAGTATGGGGCATCCTCAGAGGCTCAACTCTTATCTTCAGCCCTGTCTGGGTACTAGGGACGAGAGAGCCATTTGCTCTTTTCCTTCACCCCCCCTCCCCAAGCAAGTGGGAGCATGGGATCCTGGGAAGTTCCTACCTCATTCCAGTCCCTGGAATTCACAAACTGGAAGACCCTTTTTCCTCTTCAACCTCTCCCTATGGTTGGATGGCTTCTCTTAGAACCTTCATTTAAGGAGGGCACCCAGGCTAGTCCTGTCTCGTTCCTTTCCAGGTTGTACTTGGGACTTTCTCTGTCATGCCTCCACAGTGGGTACCTTTATGTCCCCCAAATACCTTTTTGTTTCCTTTTATGTACTGTCTTTCCTCACTATAATGTAAGCTTCTTGAGGGCAGAGACTGTCTTTCTGTTAGTATTTGTATTCACAGTGCTTACCAGAGTATCTAGCACTTAGTAAGCACTTAATAAATGCTAGTTGATTTATTGATTAATTCTAACCACCTGCTAGGGCTTCTGTCTCAAGTCTCTACCTCTTCAGACCTGTGTGATTCAGATCTTGTAAGAGTCATTAGAACTGAGTACCTGGATGCAGGTGCTGCTCACGTCTCCCTTGGTGTGATCTTTAGCATTGGTCCTTGTCCCATGGTTTTTGTGGTGCATGGTCTGGAGGAGGGGGGAAGAAGAGTCAGGGGCAAGTTCAACTTTGTTCTAGCCTTCTCATTGTTGGATGGAGAGAAGGGGGTTATAGGAGTATGGACTTTCCTAGTTCTGGGTACAGAAAACTGGAAGGACAGCAGGCCCTCTCCCAAGAAACAGAACTGAGATGTAGAGAAAGGGTTCATTGCCCAATGAAAACCAAACACGAGGTGTGGAGTTAGGTGGTGATACTACTTCTGGGTGGACAGTCAGGGGCTCTGTCTGTAGTGCATTTTTGTTCCATTAAATGAGAACTGCTCCCCCTGCTGACTCCTTACCTCCATTTTAATAGGTTGAAGAAATCAGAGGACTCTTGGAGATGGGTAGTGGGAAAGGGGAGAAAGGAGAACCTGGAGACATCTCTTATCCTCTCACTTTCCCGGCCTAGTTGCTAAGCTTAGGGATCATCTAGTCTAAACTCATTTTATGTAGGAGGAACTGAGGTCTAGAAAGACAGAGTTAGTAGAAAACAAGATCAAGATAGAACCTGGGTCCTTTGTTTCAAATTCGTTGTTCTTTTCATTGCATTATCATATAAGGAAACCGAGCTCTGGGGTTTCTTCTGCCTTGTGTCCCCAAGGCTATCCGAAGTTCAGTCCCCCAGATTGTCGGGTAAGATGTACTTGCACTAACCCTGGCTGTCGCAGGGGGGCGCCAAGCGCGTAGATTGACCAAACCAAAAAAAAAAAAAAAGGCGAAACCTAGTTGGGCTTACCTGGTGGGCACTGCGGTCTCCCTTGCTTCTGTTAACTGAAGGTCAGCTAGCTCTCTGCTGCAACCTGCAGTGGGCACGCCAGTTAGATTAGACGGTTCCTGCTTGGCAGGCTTAGTTGTTCAAACAATCGGGCTCTGTTCTGGCTCTCCATAGAAACATGCCTTTGGCATTGACAGAGGGGGTGAGGGATGAGGGACTCAGTATCTATGAAGGTCCCCCGCATACACGTTTAGCCCATACTGGCACTTAGGCTCGGCAGCCTCTTGGTTCCTACAGACTCAAACAGCACCGTATCCCGCTATCTAAGTCTTGAATTTAGCAAGAGTTTGCTCTGATCTCTGACTAGTAGGAGAGTGGGGGGGTGATTGTTAACTTTTTTGGGTCCACTTATATAAGATGGGGATAACGACTAGTATTCCTGTCCCTCTCCACCTCCCTCTGGCTTAACGCAACCTAACAGGAGATCGTAGCATCCTAGTGAGTTCTACTAGAAAAGCTATACTTGTCCTAGGTGCCGAAACACTCTTTCCCCAGCCCCGCACCGCCGCTCCCTTCGTCCCGCCCCGCCTACCCAGTGGGTGGGGCTGAGCATGGCTAAAGAGCTGGGCTCCCGCAGCCCTAAAGGACTGAGAACTGTCCGGAAACCCGGTTCTGAAGCGCTCTGCTGGTTTCAGCTGTGAGCTGCTTTACAGGGTTCTTGCTGAAGAATCTGGCTTTAAGGCAGATCACTTTGAAGGCGGGGAGCTCTCCGACCGCCAGTGCTGAAGTTCTCTGCTTTTCTGAGAGCACCCGTGTGTGTACAGTCCACTGCCCTTTTCCTGGAGAGCCCGGCACAGCTCAGAGCAGCTTTCTGAGCTTGGAATTGTTCGGACCCCAGTACTGAAGCCTCACCCCAGCCCCCTCCACTCCGAGGCTCTATTTCTCACCGCCCAATATTCTCCTCTCCCCTCCCCCGCATCCTGTTTGAAATGGACCGGCAGGACCCCGTTGGCATTGTTTTAGAGTCAAGTCAAGCCCATTCCTTCCTCTTAATGGGCGGGACCCTTAACCGCAGACTGCTCACCTCGAGTTTCTTCTCACTTCCTAGCCTCCATACCCCAGCGCCGAGCCCGTCCCGGGGGCTATGTTGGAGTGTGTTACACAGTAGTAGCAGGTGCTTCGCCTCTCCTAAGGACTCCCAGCAGGCACTCTCCCAGGTCGCCTTGTCTCAAGTACCTGTCAACGTCCTAGATCCTCCCTTGTTGTCTTGGCACCCCCACCCCCATGGTCTCTTCAATCCTTCACCACCCGTCTCTCTTTTTACTCTCTTTCCTGCACCCCCACCCTTGCCTCCCATCCCCGAGTACACATACGCTCATCTTCAAAGCTTCGCCAGCAGATCCAGGTGTAGAAAGCATCCAGGTCTCTGGCTCAGCTCTTTTATAGCCCTTGGGTAAGGGAGGAGGGAGGAGGAAGGGTGGAGTCCCTGGGAGGGAATTATCGATTTGGCCAATCGGACCCTCTCTCGGAGCTCAACTTCTCAGATTACATCATAGAAAGTAGCTTCATTTTCAGAATAGAAGAAAGCTACTGGCTGAACATTGAGGAAGCAAGGAGGGTGGGGGAAGGGTGGTCTGTACTTCGCCAGGGGGCGCAAGGGTTAGGGGGCGCTTGGTTTGGTCCCTGAATGTCCCATTCTTTCAACCCTTTCCTTCGGTGGCTAGGGCGTGCCTAGCGCAGGCGCAAGCAGTCACCTTTGTCTCCCGGTGCTCCCCTTCACTTTCCCCTGCTCACCCTCGCTCTAGCTGTCAGCTGGCTTGGGAATCCGGAGAAGCGCGGAAAGCAAAGCCCTACTGGGCATCTGCCTACTCTCCACCGGTCCTATGAAGATCACAGGATTTAGACCTGGTAGAGATGGCACTCTGGTGGCTTCCTCCTAGGGGACCTTGTCTTTTTTCAACCTGGAAGTAGGGATACCGTGAACTAGTAGGAAAGCTCCAGCCCTTCTCCTCTACTCCCATATACTTTAATGAAGTTCTCTGCTACTAACTCTGTAACCTTGCATAAGCCCATTCTTCTTCTAGGACTCAATCTCCTCATCTGTAAAATGAAGAGGTTAAATTCAATCTCTAAGGTCCTTTTTATTTTGACACTAATTGTGTGATTCTGGGTAAGTCACTTCCCTTCTCTAACCTCAGTGTCTTTATCTGAAAATATTGGTAATAGTCCTTGCCCTACCGACCTCACAAAATTGTACAGAGGAAAGTGCTTTGTAAACCTGAAATTGCTATAAAAATGTGAATTGTTCCCCTCGTGGGCTCAGGATTTCATCATTCTTTCCTTTCTCATTCCCACATAGCCAATCCGTTGCCAAGACGTGTCCTTTCTACCCCTGCAACATCTCTCTCATTGGTCCCTCCACTCCTTTTATTCCTATAGCAACTGCTCTGCTAAAGGCTGTCATTTCTTTTCACCTAGATTATTGTAATATCCTCCTGACCAATCTTCCTGCCTCTAGTTTTCGAAGCTCTCTAATGTATGCTTTACACTGTGGCACAAAGTGATCTTAGCATCATAGATACTCAGAGATGGAAAGGACATCTTGCTTGACCTATACATGAATAAGAATTCCATTACAATATGTCCATTATCCAGCTTTTGCTTGAAAATCTTGTAAAGATCTTTTATTACTGTACCCTGGTAGCTCACACTACTTTGGAATAGCTCTAAGTATTAGAAGGTTCTTTCTGACATCAAGCCTAAAGCTCCCTCACTGCAATTTCCATCCTTTGTTCTGATCCCTTTAAGGTTAAGCAGAACAAGTCCAGTCATTCCTTCACTTAATGGCCCTTCAAACACTCAAAGAATCTATGTTCTCTAAATCTTCTGTTCTCTGGTCCCTTCAGCCAGTCTTTATATGGCATCGTCTTGAGACCCTTCACAACCCTGGAGACCTTCCTTTCAGATACTCTAAGTCTTATCAATGTTCTTCCTGAAATGTGGTACCCAGAGCTGAACACAGTACTTGAGGTGTGGTCTGTCTAGGTCCCTTCACTGAAATGGTGATAATGAGTTGATCTATTTCCTAGAATTTAGAACTAGAAGAGATCTTATATTAAAAACTGGTCATGCACCCTCATTTTTACAGATGAAGAAACTAAGACCCAGAGAGATTAAATGAGGTGTTTATGGTCACATACACTAACCTACATAGCTTTCTAGTTTGGTTCCAACCCAATAATAAGAGAATACCTAAGTTATCTTTGAGAGTTTAAATCACCAGAATGGAATGAACTATATGTCAGGGTACTGAAAGCACTGGTGGATGTGATTACTGAGCCACTGACAGTAAGTTTTGAAAGACTGTGGAAAATAAGAGAAGGGCCACAGGATTGGAGAAGGGCAAATATTCTAGTTTTTAAAAAAGTGAAGATAATGGAATTTGTAAACAATAGACCAATGAACTTGACTTAGATTCCTAGCAAAATTCAAAACATTTTTAATGAAAGTTATGGTTTATGAAAAATCTTATCTCAACTGAGTACTCATTGGGTCATATCAATCCTTTTTATCCTTCCCTGGTTGTAACATGGTCACATTTCTCACAATGTCTGTTCCAAACCTTATCTTCTACCTCAAGTCATCTGTGTCGAAAGTGTCCAACACAGGGCCTCCAACATTTCTGAGTGAGACCCAAATCAGATTAAAATGTAATTGGGAAATATTTGACAAAATAAATAAAAATAGAATAGAGCAAAGATATAGAAAATATGTAGTTTTCTAAGTTCTTTCTCTGGTGGTGGATAGCATGTTTCATCAAGACTCCCGTGGGAATGTCATAGATCGTTGTATTGCTGAGAATAGCCGAGTCATTCACAGTTCTTCATTGTTTAATATTGCTATTACTGAGTACAATGTTCTCCTGGTTCTGCTCACTTCACTTTGCATCCATTCTTGTAAGTCTTTCCAGGTTTTCTGAAACCATCCTGCTTGTCATTTCTCACAGCACAATAATATTCCATCACGATCACATACCACATCTTGTTCAACCTTCTCCAAGAGATGGGCATTCCCTCAATGTCCAATACTTAGCCACCACAATAAGAGCTGCAATAAATATTTTTGTATAAATAGATCCTCCTTCCCCTTTTAAAAATCTCTTTGGGATATAGACCAAGCAGTGGCATTGCTGGATCAAAGAATATGCACAGTTTTATAGCCCTTTGGGCATAGTTCCAAATTGCTCTCCAGAATGGTTGGATCAGTTTTTTCCCCACATCCCTTCCAACATTTATCATTTTCCTTTTTTTGTCATATAAGCAAATCTGATAGGTGTAAGGTGGTGCCTCAAAGTTGTCTTAATTTGCATTTTTCTAATCAATAGTGATTTAGAACATTTTTTCATATGACTATAGATAGCTTTGATTTCTTTGTCTGAAAACTGCGTGTTCATATCCTTTGACCACTTATCAATTGGGGAATGACTTGTACTTTTATAAAAATTACTCAGTTCTCTGCATATTTGAGGAATGAGGTCTTTATCAGAGATACTCATTGCAAAATTTTCTCCCAGTTTTCTGATCTCCTAATTTTGGTTGCATTGATTTTGTTTGTGCAAAATCTTTTTAATTTTATGTAATCAAAATTATCTATTTTATATTTCATAACGGTCTTTATATCTTGTTCTTCCTTCATCCACAGACCTGACAAATAAATTATTCCATGCTCTCCTAATTTGTTTATTATATCACCCTTTATGTCTAAATCATGTTCCTAATTTGACCTTATTTTGATAGAAGGTGTGGGATGTTGGTCTATACCTAGTTTCTGTCATACTGTTTTCCAGTTTTCCCAGCAGTTTTTGTCAAATAGTGACTTTTTGTTCCAAAAGCTTGGATCTTTAAGTTTATCAAGTACTAGATTACTATGATAATTTACTATAATGTATTGTGCACCTAATCTATTCCACTGATCCACCCCTCTATTTCTTAGCCAGTACCAAATTGTTTTGGTAATTACTACTTTATAATACAGTTTGAGATCTTGGTATAGTTAACCACCTTCCTTCACATTTCTTTCATTGATTCCTTTGATATCCTTGACCTTCTGTTCTTCCAGATGAATTTTGTTATTATTTTTTCTAGCTCTATAAAATAATTTTTGGTAGTTTGCTTATGTATTAATTTAGGTAGAATTGTCATTTTTATTATTTGCCTCAGCCTATGCAATTAATATTTTTTCCTATTATTTAGATCTGACTTTATTTGTGTGAAAAGTTTTATAATTATGTTCATATAGTTTCTGGGTTTGTCTTGTCAGGTAGACTCCCTTTCCCTTCTTTCAAGGCTCAACTCAGATACTACCTCTTTCATGAAGCCTTCCTTGATACCCTCCTACCCCAGCTACAAGTCAAACCAGTCAAAATTCATTTGTTAAGAATTTACTATATGCCAGGCCCTGTGCTAATTGCCAGGGATGCAAAGAAAGGCCAAATACTGTTCCTGCTCTCAGAGATGAGGAAAACAAAAGAAATGTAAACATACATTCAAGATATATACAGAGTAGATGGAAGGCAATCTCAGAGGAAAGGCATTAGAAGCAGGGATGAGGAGGTGAGACTAGGAAAGGCATTTTGAAGGAGGTGACATTTAAGCGGAGTCTTGGAGGAATCCAAGGAAGGTAAGAGGTAGAGGTAAGAGGGAGAACATTCCAGGCATGGGGGACAGCTGGTGTAAAGATATGGAGGAGTGTGGTGTGCCAAGAGCATCCCTGCTCAGTTTTCTCTTTCCCTTTGCGTGGATCTCTCCTTGGCATTTGTCATATTCTCCTTTGTGTGTACTGGTGTTCTTGCTTTATTAAAATCTTTCTCTGATATCTCATCATAGCATGGAGGTGACACTATGTTCTTGAAGGTTATGCCTTGCATAAAGTAGGTGCCTGATAAAATGTTTGTTGACTTGAACTTATGGGATGACTCCTTTTTCTGCCTGATGTTTTTTTCCCCACAGAAAGATACAGGAGAGAAGAGTTATGGAAAAGGAATCAGGACACTTTGGTTCTACTACCAGTTCTTCCATTATCTTGCTGGTTACTTCCCTTCCCTCAGCATCATCATCCCTATCTGTCAGTTGGACTCTATAAATTCTCAGTGGATCAAAGGAAATGAATAATTTAATGGGTTTTCTCAAATAATTCCATTTTTTGCTTATCTCTACCTCAGCTACACAATAGACCCCTACAGAAACATGTCCCAGTAGTACTCTGAAGTCAGAAGGTCATAGAATTTAGATCTGGAAGAGGCCATTTAGTGGCCTTATTTTACAAAGGAAAAAATTGAGGTTGACAGGGGTGTGACTTGTCCAAAGT